TTGGTTTTAGGTGCCTATGTCCGATACATAAACGCGCATATATAGCGGTCGTTATATACGAACCATCTTGCAAGGCCGTAAGTTGAACTGTTTTTTTTTTTTTGTTTTAGGCATTGATGATAAAGACATTCGGTGGTAGAGCAGAACAATATTTCATTCTACGATATCGGGAACCAATCCAGAGACCCGGTGAAATATAGGATGACAATATTATTCACCGACACCATATTGACATGACACCCTTGTCTTCTTAGGTTGTTGGTGGTTCTAGCCCGACGGTGCGATCGACTTGTAGATAATCATATTTTATAAAAATGATAAGAACAAATACGTTAAGAATATATACACTATTTACAAAAGTATTTCGACTACAAAAATAGATATTACTTTTTCTTATATGCATGGAACTTATATGCATGCCAAAATATAAATTTTAAGTAATATAATTCGATTGTCCACTTTTCAATTGCCGGTACTGGGCTAAGGAGTACCCTCCTAAGTTGGTATTGTAGGAAACCCTTCTAGTTGAATGTCGGGCTCTATACATACGGGTGCTCGATAGTTGACTTCGGAGTCCCTCGAGAATACCTAAATTTGAGCCTACCCCGACCTGAATGCTTACGGTTTTCTTTCTTTCATCGAATTTTTCGTGTGTTTCCTACGGTTTTATTGGGACATTTGTAGATCATTTGTGATTTCCTCAGAATTTTTCTCGTGTTTTCGACGATTTTTTTCGAGTTACCGTGGGTCATTTGTCTCTTTTCAGGTGATGTTCGCTATTCATTCTCATTTGTATAAATGCATGCTTACACACTTCTTAAATTCTTTTACCATACTCGTTTTCTTGTACATGCAACACCGATCCCATATACAGAAACAACAGACCCGTCAGATATACATGTTTGTTTTATGTTTACAGCATTTCACTTTCTTTACTGCACACTTTACTGCATATATACAGTTCATGTTTGGGATGCTACTGTTTATTGTTTATTGCTTATTGTGTTTCGTAGCATGTTTCCCTTTCATTATTCATGTTGCTTCCACAGATTTGCAGGGACCTTTCAGAATAGAGGATAGTAGGACACCCTGTTTAAGAGACACCATATAGCGAATCACTGACCCAATAATCACATATTTATACGCACCACAACCCTGAACCTATAAACGATATGTTAAGGAGCTTAGAGTAGTTTCTCCAAGAAGTGTAGCATGGAAGCAAGCAGACGGAGAACGACGATTGAGACTACGACAACGAGGTGTGGGGCGTGTCTTTAGAGTTAAGGTCCCATCGTAGGATAGTTGGGAAGTCACCGGGGTTTTCCCGGACCTGTGACATCTCCTACCTTTCACTCCATTGACTCCTGAAAATAACTCCCCTTTGATTTCCTCACATTTAACCTTGGAAACCTAAATTTTGAAATCTTGAAACCAAAACTACTGATCTTAATCGAGTGTTTTCTTAAGTGACTCCGGTCATTTAAGATGTAATAACTATAGGGACTTGACTCTATAGGGAACTTAAGAACCTAACTTAATATAAACTCTATTTAATCTCTCGTATTAAATAAGAGAACTTGTTGGTTTATAAAAAAAAGTATCGCAGACCAAACAAACGTCACAAATCTTTTAGTTTAGGTGGTTAAACTTATCAACAAGTTATATGCATATCTTTCGGGATAGTGTATTACTTGTGGTATCGCGCTCAACCTTGTAAATTACCAAATGTGTGAGATCCATTCGACCTCACTTTTTCAAAATAAATGGCCGACACAGGTAAGTGTATTTTTCCTTTTCGCGACCATATTTTGTTAAAGAGTATTCACACAAGAACTTATATGGATTATACCATGCTTGGAAATATAAGGATTAAGAATGAAATTAAAGTATTTCTTAGCATTATTAGTTTTAAGAATTTAAATTCTGTTTCAAAATTTAATGAGAATTATGTAATGAAAGGAATGAAATATGAAAGTTGTTTCAAAATTTTCTTTCATATGGAATGTCTATGTTGTTCTTGTGTGATCATCTATAAATGATACAAACAATTGTTCCTCATTTATATTTTTTACCTGTGAAAGTCCCCAAATATCATTGTGAATTACAGAAAAAGGTTGTGAAGTTTTATATTGCAATTTGAAATATATATGTCTAGTATGTTTGGCAAATTGACAAGTTTCAAATTGATAAAGACTGGATTGTTTTAGTAATAAATAAATGTGGAAGCATCTTTTCCATATATGCAAAATTTGGATGATGAAGACGACAATGAGCCAACATGACATGACTTTCAACCGAATCAAAATTTGAATTGGAGTCAGAAATATATCTTGAAGGATAATATTGCCTACCAATGAAGTTATTTTCTTAGAGCAAATGTAGATCATAATGCTTCTCAACACTGCTAATCACGTTCCCCAAATCCACAAATTAAAAATCACAACAATTGAAAAAATAAGTTGTTCACATCTTTTAGGTCACGGGTGAGTTTGTTGATTGAGATTAGGTGCAATTTAATTTCAGAACATAAAAAATAGAGTAGATGTGAAGATCCTTTGTTCATTCGACTGATCCAGTTCTTGCTACCAATGAGAATGAATCATCAACTATTTAGGCTGACAAATGATTAATACATGGATTGTAATTTTTGAAAAACTTGACGTTACTAGTCTTGTGCTTTGAGGCTCCATAATTAACTATTTAAGTTTACTAAATGAGTAAGACATCTTGGTGTGTTAACATGATGATTGGTTGCTCGACAGAGGATTGTCAGAACTAGAATTACTACTAACATTTTCTGCAGTGCTTCCATTTCCTCCTTGGTGAGCGGGATGAATTTTGAATTGTTGTTGGAAGATATGATAGAAACTAAAGACATAGGTTTGGATCTGGATGTAACTTCTAAGGAAGAATATTGTGAGCTCTTATCGTGTTTGACCATACTAAGATTGTGAAGTTCAAATAAAGAAGTTCTAATGCTCGGACGATAGTGAAAGGAGGACCACTAGTTTGATTGCTTGGTTGGACGAACAAATAAGAATTGGAGGGAGATGCACAACTCTCGATTTCCATGACTTCAAAAAAGGACGAGATGGCCTAATTGGTTGTATGCGGTGATTTGTGAGAGGATGGTTAGTGCAAGCCGAATCAATTATTATATCAAATCATTCGACTTTAGCGATTAGAAGATACAATCTGATTCGTGTGTATGAGGTGGTCATTTTGAAGAGTGGAAACAGACTGCGGCTAGGGCTCACAAAGTTTGATCGAGAGAGCAATGAAGGAACTCTCGGTTGTGGCTTCATGTGTGTGCTAGCCTTCCTCTTGCGTGCATATGAAAGAGGCGAGCTAGACTCGCGGGACTTGCAAGCAAAAACCGTTAACCTTCCTCTGGGGAAGATGCCGATGACTGAGTTGAATGGGTTCCAAAAATCGAAGGAGAAGGGATAGAAGATGTTTCCTTCGCATCATTTGTGAGATTTTTGGATGTGGACTGCCAAAGAGATGTGTGAATCAGGAAGAGACTATCAGATGAGTTGCGAGAGTTATGAAAAGTCAAAGTTTATCACGGTGCTGAGCCATGCGTCTATGCATGTAAGATATGGGCTCACCGAGCGCACCGATTGCTTATGAGAGACGACACCGAGTGCGGGACTGCTTGTAATCTCATGATACATAGTTCGAAGAGAAGGATGGCTCTGATGGCATGTAGAATTCTAGAAAGTCTTATATCTGGCTTAGATACATTATATTTTGCTGGGTATTTATAATATTAAAAGGAAACAAAACATAATACCTCCAAACAAAAGAAAAACAGAAAATAAAGAAATATCTAATAAAAGAAATACAATTAGCGAAATATATTCCGAAAAAAAGGAAATAAATTCTTTCCTAAATACTTTCCAATAAATTCTAACACAAATAAATTCCTATTGTGTATGAAATTTTTGTGGGTTGCATCTCTTTATAAGGAAAAAATATTACATCAGGACTCCACACGTAGAGTTACGTGCGAAGTCCAATGAAGTCACGCCACACACGTGAAGGTGAGGAAAAAAAATCGGTCCGGTAAGACAAAAGAATATTCCTCCCGTGTTATTCAGGTGTTATTGTGTGTTATTCAAGCGTTATTAGTGTGTTATTGTGTTATTATAACACCGGGAATATTCTGAGAATATAATAACACATGAATAATTTATATTAACACCAGAATGACACGGAGGAAATATTCCCCCGTGTTACATGTGTTACCGAAAATATTCTTCTGTGGCGTGATTTCATTAGACTCTGCACGTAACTCTAAGTACGGAGTCCTCATGTAATATTTTTTTCCGACATTTGAGATGTCAGTTGTAAGTCTCCTAAGGTAGGGGGTTCGAATCCACCTCTGGCAACTGATGCCTTAAAGAGGTCGGTGCTCGAATGGTTGGACACATTAGGAGTGGCTAGGGGCTCGTCTAATAACCTCCGACTATATTTATGACATATTATTTATTCATGAAAATGTATATTTTAGATTTTAAAAAGTTAAAATAGTGAAATTTTTTATGTTTTATGAAAGATTAGAATGGCATCCATGTCAAAAAAGTAAAAGTTAGATGTTAGATATGTAATACCTAAGAATTGGGAGGTGTGTATGTAAATGTCCCTTGATTTTTTTAAGCCCTTAGCCGAGCGTGGGCTAGCCCTTAGCCGAGCGTGGGCTATTTTTTTTTATGTAATATTAAAGATTTGGCTGCTATACATCTAAATATGAATGTTAGGGTGTTAGATTTGGAAATATTAAGCCTTGTATCTATGCTTGTTTTATAGGAGCTCCACTCTTGTAATGCTGGTTAAACTTGCTCTCTTAGATGATCATTATACATGAATTAGAATTATTTTATTTGTGAGTTTAATAAGCTCGACGCTGCTCTCAATGGGGAAGAGATGATCTTCTAATCATTTTATCAAAACAAAATATTAGACTGTATTTTTATCTATTTATTTTGTTTTTTCAGGTTTATGTGCTTGGAGGATTAATGGTTGCCAAGTGGATATGGGCTAAATGGAAGGAGAGGAGAGGAAAATCACGAGAAGGGTAAGGCTTCCTTTGAGGAGGCAGAGAAGTTTCGTTCAGTTAGAGCGAATGCTGATGTTTGAAAGAAATTTTGTTTGGTGAAAACACAGGAGACGTTTTTTCGCAAGAACGACAAATTTTTACCGTTTTAGATCGAAGCTTGTATCATTTGGATCGATGAATGTAGCTTTTAAAAGAAATTTAGTGAATGTTGTCGCTGTTTCGAACGAAGCGCAAGTGTTGTTGAGGTGGAAGCTTCATATTATATATATATATATATATAAATCATGATTCTTTCTGTCTTTGATAACTACATACATGAATAACACACAATAACACCTGAATAACATAGAAGGAATATCCCCCTGTGTTACATGTGCTATCGGGAATATTCCCCTGTGACGTGATTTCATTAGACTCCGCACGTAACTCTATATGTGGAGTCCTAATGTAATATTTTTTCCTCTTTATAAGATCCCAAACTGTTGTGAGTACCCCTCTTTGAATTTCGTTGATGTTTCATATTGATTTGATTTTTTTGTTCATTTATTTATTTTAACATCATTGGCAGTTAATAATTAATTTTTCTAGTACCTTACTTTTGAGCCGAAATTAAGCGATGCAAATCTAGAAGTTTTTATCGCAATAGTAAACTTTTTGAGGAAAAAAAACTTAAAAAGTTTATGATAACCCTATTCATAAATTCATTCATGAAGCGCATTTTTTCTTAGGGAAATTTACACAAATACCTCACAATCCCTATGTATTTTCCTATCTAATACTGAAACTTCAATATTTATATTTACAACACTTTTAAAGTATATGTATTTCATTTTTAAAAGGTATTAATATTGTTTTTTTTTATGTAATATTAAAGATTTGGCTGCTATACATCTAAATATGAATGTTAGGGTGTTAGATTTGGAAATATTAAGCCTTGTATCTATGCTTGTTTTATAGGAGCTCCACTCTTGTAATGCTGGTTAAACTTGCTCTCTTAGATGATCATTATACATGAATTAGAATTATTTTATTTGTGAGTTTAATAAGCTCGACACTCTCAATGGGGAAGAGATGATCTTCTAATCATTTTATCAAAACAAAATATTAGACTGTATTTTTATCTATTTATTTTGTTTTTTCAGGTTTATGTGCTTGGAGGATTAATGGTTGCCAAGTGGATATGGGCTAAATGGAAGGAGAGGAGAGGAAAATCACGAGAAGGGTAAGGCTTCCTTTGAGGAGGCAGAGAAGTTTCGTTCAGTTAGAGCGAATGCTGATGTTTGAAAGAAATTTTGTTTGGTGAAAACACAGGAGACGTTTTTTCGCAAGAACGACAAATTTTTACCGTTTTAGATCGAAGCTTGTATCATTTGGATCGATGAATGTAGCTTTTAAAAGAAATTTAGTGAATGTTGTCGCTGTTTCGAACGAAGCGCAAGTGTTGTTGAGGTGGAAGCTTCATATTATATATATATA